CGCATACAAATGACGTACTTTCCCTTGTCATGATCATGATTATGGTACTCAAATTTTGACGGCATCGTTGTCGCTGCGGTCTTGTAGAAAAACCCGACCGCATCCCATACAAACCCTGAGCTTCTCAGCGCGCTGTCAACGTGACGGCGTCATACAAACCAGTCATTCGTTGCGCGTCGTTGTCGCTGTCGCTTGGTTTTTAAGCCTACCATTAGGATGGCACACATTATAATAGAGAAAGGAATTCAAGTCATGCATGTCATCCCGGGAGGTATGACTGCCAGCGACTGACACGATATCACTGTGTAGCCGTTTTGCTTTTTGACTGTTAATTGTATGGCATTTTATAAGTCTGTGATTTTTATGGTCCAGTTTCACTCTCTCTGTCTTCGAGTCATCCAACGACTTAGTTTTGTTTTACTGATGAATGGCACAAGCACGACGCCCCAACTACACGCGCCGTTTCCCTTATTTGTGCCCCAGCGCCATGACATGCTGGCTGTCAAAAAATCGCAGCATTGTGCGGCGCCGCGTCTTGCATTTCAGTGATGGCTGTCAATCCGCAATATCGTGTGGCACGTGTATAATTCTTCTTTAAGAAGCGCAATATAAAACCTATTACCAGCAGAGTTATGTCGTCCGATGAACTTACGGTGAACTTTTCTCAGTGAAGCCGGAAGAGGTTTCAATTAGTCGTCTCGGTGGGTTCCGCAAGTTCCAACTGTAATTTACCGGAAATAAATCTAGTTCTGTAACTTACCGACAGTTATTATAAGTATTAATGTGGGTTCTATTATGTGCTGTTTAAATCTACTTGAACCGTCTCTTTATTAGCTAGCTAACGCTACAAAACGTTTTAGTAGTATTATATATATGTAATGGTTTTACCTTCACAAATAAAAAAAGCTATTAAAAAAAATTGGCTGAAAAATATTGTGTATGATGGATGAGTTGTTCAAAATTCAAAACACTTAGCCTTAACAAGTCAGCAAAGTGATTTCTCCACACTGATTTTACGCGGCAAACCTGTACGTTTAAGCTGGAGTAAAAATGTTGTTATTCCACTACGCAATTACATTTCAAGTCTAAAAATCGTGGGCGTGCCGTAATCCGCTGCGTAGTGCGGTGACGCGGTGCGCTTACCGACCCGGTGGCCGCGGAATCCTGACGAGCGAAACCACGCGGATCCGCGGATCACACTAATCCCACCTGATCCCGCCCTGATCCACCCGCGACCGCAACACAGCCTGAATCATAATTCACAACCATTTATCTTCCCAACCTGGAATAAAAGTTGCCGGACCCAAAACTTCCACTTTTAATCTTTCAGGGTTCGAATGAACCGAAACATTTAAGATTGACTAGATGGGTAAAACAATTTTGTTGTAGGGCAACCCTCTTTACTGTCTTCATTTGAACACGAATATGATAAAAACAGAGAAGCCATAAATTTTCATTTTAACGAAACATTCCGTTGTGTACGAATCGTGACACGAGCGGTGAAAATACATGAAATATCTGAAATACACAACGATACGAATTATATTTTCATGCAAGCGGTAACCTCAGCCGCAGCGACTGTAAATTATATTCTGACAAGTTTCCAGCACAAACAATTGGTTAAACCCAATTATAAAACTACATTTCGATGTGAATTTCATATCAACTCGAGCTTCATTGATATAACGGCCGAGTGGACACGTTTAACTTATTTAATGTTATTTTGTCGTACGACAAAAAATTGCGAATTTTTAATCGTATTGTTTGAGTCTCGGTCCGCTTGGTTTCAATATCCGATAATGTGATTACACTTTAAATAATTTGGTACTATTATGTTACGAGTTATGATTTTGTAATTTGCTTAACGAGGCGAAACGAACTCAATAATTTGCAAAGCACCGAATATAAAGGAAAAAACTTCGGAATTAGAATTTAAAAAGGTTCCTTGGGAAGGCAATTTTTCAGGCACATTCATGCCCTCTGAAAAGCATTAGAGTCGGCCCAATAAAGTACCTCGACAACGGGCACGTAAAGAAAAGGCGCGACGAGATCGCAGGGAAATTGTGGCCTCATGCATGTGCGTATTTGCTGCTGGGTTGGGGGGTTTTCGACTCTATCAGAAGGTGCTAAGGCTTCGAGAGTGGGGGTATAAAGGCAGGAGTGGTGGTGGCGTGTATGCGTGCGACATTTGGCTTGGGATTGGGGAGCACTCCGGCTCCTTCCGTCGGAAGCGCTAACAGCCGCGCGCAGATATTCGCCCGGTGAGATATGAGCTTTAGGCGGGGCCCACCGTTGCTGCGTTTTCTTTTAGGCGCATACAGATTTCAAAACAAAAAAGACTGAAAAATTCGTTTGCGTCGGCCGGGGCTTTCTTAGTTGGCAGTGCAGTGGGACGGTATCCCACACTCCCGGGTTCAAGTCCCGGCCGACGCTAACGAATTTACCAATTGTCTTATTTTATTTGATTAAATTTCAAATTCCCTATTCTCAAAACGACGTAAAAATAACGCAACGCAAGATTGTTTTACCACATGTTTGCGTGCGTGCCATGTGATGCTGGCTTAGAATAGCATCACGCCAATTCTACCCGCGGGTGTCGTAAAAAGCGACTAAGGGATATTCATCCAGGGTATGGGTAGCAAGCAGTGCTCCCTGTAAATGCAACATCTTGCACTGCGGTCGCCAATCTGCCGGCTAAGCGTGGTAAGTATGGCAATACCCCGATGATCGGGGGAGGCCCATGTCCAGCAGTGGACTGTTGTGGCTGTTATGGTTGCGTGTGTGCATGCGTTAGACGGACGGCTTTTGCGTGTGGGCTCCGCCTATATCTGCACGCATTGAAAAATCTCGGTGTCGTGATACTTTATGGCGCACTGAGCCCACGTGACGAATGTTCTCGCAAAATCGTTGGGTATATGCTCCACTTCTGGCGTTCATAAAAAACTGAGAGTTATTACTGACTTACTTTGCCTTTCTGTTTCATTCTCTTCGAAGCACACTTCGTAAGTTCTTTTGTTAAGGGCCCTTTTCCTGTCATGCGTATTTTCGCACGCGCGCGGATCTGGTCCGCATGCGGATGATAGCACGCTCCTGGTCACACGCAGGACAGGGATTTCGTTTGCTGCCCCCGCAGCCAATCCGCGTTCCGCGCGCGTCCTAGCCGCATGATAGGAAAAACATGTATCAAAAGATAAGATGCGTGCGGCCCTCATGCGGACCAGATCCGCGCGCGTGCGAAAATACGCATGACAGGAAAAGGGCCCTAATAAAGCCTGCCTTCGGGTAAAAGTACCTATGCTAGTCTGTTATCAACTCGGTTATCAAACTTGGGCCCCAAGTCTGCTAGTTTCTAGCTATTGATATGCCAGTGACGCCAGTGACACTCAACTGTCATTCTGTTGCCACTGTGATTATGATATTCCATACTAAAAACTGTTAGCGGAATACAAAACTACCAAAACCATCCAACTGACATGCCATTGACACGCAACTGACGCAACTGAAGCTTTTTTTACGGGTATTTAGTAGGCTCTGGCCAAGCTCTGGCAACTGATTTTCATTTCAAGCGTGGGGATGGCGCTGGCAGTTCTTTATATTCTTATCTGTAACAAACAACAGTCCAGCAATTTTTTATCGTTCTTTTGATCTTACTCTTCGAGCAACGCATCTTTCGTCCAGTAGTCCAGCGTTCCTCCTCTTACCTAGATCCAAAAACGTATTGCCTTGAATATATTTTTCGAAATTCCCTTTGTTAGCATTGTGCCACAAATGCGACATACGGTAGTGTTTCACAATGAAAAACTGCACTCATTTGCATGAACCCCGTAACGCGACGGAAGATAAGCACTTTTAGCCGCATAAATACACATTCATAAATATTTACTTACTGCATACATTCAGTGTTAAAACTAAATAAAAGAAGACAAGAATTTCCATTCGGAAAATAGGTATCAGAATTGAAGAAAAATGGACTGTACTGCGAACAAAGCGTAACTACGTGCGATATCAAATGGTAAAGTTCGCATCACTTGTTTAAATGTATCTTTGTTGAGGCGAGGATAGGTGCAAATTTACTTACTGCGTACAATCACAGCTCGAAATTAGACAAAATACGCGAGTTTTTACTGTGAAAATTCCAGTTAACTAGAACTACAAAGTAAGTACCCATTTGGCGGGCATCCGATACAGAGAGACGACTACAAGGAAACGTCACACAGAGACATCCACACGACGTCAATTACACGCGTTAACAAACCGTCTGAAACCGGCTAGTAGGTAGTTGAGTTTTCTTCCAATGCAAAACTTTTTTTCTTATAAGCTATAGTGTAAGTGTGATATTATGATATTACAATGCAACTAATGTAGGTACCTACCTCGTATCAAAACTTCAGAACGTAAAAGTAGCAAGCAACTACAGGGTGTAAGTAAGTATACGTAAATGATAGGAAAAAGGTCGAGGTGTCCTTCTGTAAATTCTCTATTTTGTGCTATAACTGAAGAAAAATCCATGTTTCATCTTTTGTGTTGCGAACAAAGCGTTACTACGTGAAATATCAAATGGCGGAGTTTGCAGCACTTGTTAAAGTTGTGTCTCGGAAATCTTAGAGCAATAAATAAAGTGTTTCATACGTTGTTGTACAGGCAGACTGAAGGCATAATAAAACTAAGTTACAAAATACTTGTGTAATGTGTATTCATGTAAAGAGTTGAATAATCGCATCAAAACATATGGCACAATATGGCCTTCTACTTGCATAAAGCGGTTGAAGAACTCTGACACCCGGGTCGTTGAACGACTCGGTGTCCCACACGAAGAGAGAGAGAGAATATGTGACTGAGTTATTTTTAAAAAACATACCTACAACGTTGCAAATATGTTGGACCCACACTTGACGTCCGTTACTGCACAGTTTTAGCGCATCAGTAACGCAAGCGGCTGTCCGATACACAAGAATTAGTTGCAAAATCATCCCGGTAGATGGATCCCTGCCATGCGTAGAACCGCGGTAGCCCAGTTGATAAGTTAGTGTGGCGTTTGTCTGAAGTACAGATGCCTAAGGTTGCAGGTTCAAATCCTGCCTGCGGTGGAAAATATTACAAGTTTTCCAAAAAATTGCATTAATTTAGCTACGAGAGCATTGCCTCTATTTCCTATATATAAAAATTCAACTAATAGACATTATGGCACGTGTGCACAACTATTAAAAGCGGGCGTGCACTGAGCTAACAGAAACTTGCTCGACATAAGTTCGCGATAGTTGGCAAGTTTTTAATTGAAACCTCGTGTTCAAGTCGCGAGACACCGATTTTTAAAAGTCACTTAGTGACAAAATACCTAATTGTCGAATATGAGATTGTTTCACTGACGGAGAAGAGTCAAAGGATATTATTGCACTGCTTGCTCACATACTCAAAAGAATTTTGACCGCCAACACCATTGAAGCTACAGCTACATCTAATCATGCAAAAGATTTATCACATACCTACATACATACTTATTATATCACGCAAATATACCTTGCGAGGTAGGCAGGGAGTACACGTAACGGCCGTAAAAACGGCCATTTACACCACCACGTCTGGCAAAAGTCTGTTAGTCATTCAGAAGATTGTGTATCACCATAGTGACAGGTTGTCAGCCTGTCGCCTAAAATTGCAATACACATCAAATCTCAAATCCCTTAGTCGCTTTTTACGAAACCCAAGGGAAAGAAATGGGGTAATGCTATTCTAAGCCGGCATCACACAGGGACTCTCAAAAATCATTTCCAAAGTCGCACGTTTATCCTACCATAGTAATAAATAACTACTAACTTAAGGTATGTTATTTGATGCTTTACCTCTTTAGATATTCCGCACGTATACCAGTAACGTGTTAAGTTTCATGTTATCTCAAACTACTTACAGGAAACTGTTAATGAAGATGAGTCTACAATTAATAATAATTTACTTGCTCCATATTAAGTACAGGAATTTATGTCGTAAGGCGTATAGGTATTTGAAGTTATATTTGGTAGAGACGAGGAGATTGTATTACTGGTCGCTAATCGCTACAATAAAGAAGTATTATTATTGACCCTTTTGCATGGTAAGCCGGATGACCTTTGGCCGATTTATTGTCACATCAGATAGTTACAAGTTATAGACCCAAATTCTGACTACTTAGTATTAAGCATTTTTCATTTTTTTGTGAATAAGTTAACTTTTTATTCAGATAAGTACACTTTGATATATGTGTCCAAAGTTTGTGGGATTGCAACTATCCACAAAGCCACATGGTTAGATAATTCAACGTCGGCGTATGTCTCGGTCAAGACAAGATGTGGACATCGGACGTCTTATATCGGTGCCGAGGGAAATTAGCCGCTCGGCCACTACGTCAGTGCATAGATTAGTAATGCCACTGCTTATATGATTATACTGTAGATCCTTAGGCTGGTCTAGTTCTACAAACACCTCTAGCATGTTTTTTAACGATCCAGATGCCTAATCTAACCGTCTCGGTCAGGACAAGATGTGGACAAATGGACGTCTTATATCGGTGCCGAGGGAAATTAGCCGCTCGGCCACTACGTCACTGCATAGATTAGTAATGCCACTGCTTATGCTGTGGAGGCTAAGGCTGGTCCAGTTTTACTAAATAACTTCACCAACAACTGCTCACAGTTGGACATAGGTACAGATTTATGTAACTACCTTACGTACATGTCTCGGTCAAGATGTGGACAAATGGACGTCTTATATCGGTGCCGAGGGAAATTAGCTACTCGGCCACTACGTCGAGCCTAAGGCTGGTCCAGTTCTACAAAGCAACTCCAGTATGTTTTTTAACTACCCACATGCCTAATCCAACCGTCTCGGTGAAGACAAGATGTGAACAAATGGACGTCTTATATCGGTGCCGAGGGAAATTAGCTGCTCGGCCACTACGTCACTGCATAGATTAGTAATGCCACTGCTTATTATGCTTAGTAGAGCCTAAGGCTAGTCCAGTTTTACTAAATATCTTTACCAACTGCTCCCAGTTGGACGTAACCACAGAATTATGTAACCACCTTACTGACATGTCTCAGTCAAGATGTGGACCAATGGATATCTTATATCGGTGCCGATGGAAATTAGCCGCTTGGCCACTACGTCACTGCATAGATTAGTATTGCCACTGCTTATTATGCTTAGTAGAGCCTAAGGCTAGTCCAGTTTTACTAAATATCTTTACCAACTGCTCCCAGTTGGACGTAACCACAGAATTATGTAACCACCTTACTGACATGTCTCAGTCAAGATGTGGACAAATGGATATCTTATATCGGTGCCGAGGGAAATTAGCCGCTCGGCCACTACGTCACTGTATAGATTAGTAATGCCACTGCTTATGCTGTAGAGCCTATGGCAGGTCCAGTTTTACTAAGTACCTAACTTCACCAACAGCCACGACCTACTTGCAGTTGAACATAGGCATAAAATAATGTAACCCTACCTTACCGACATGTCATCGTCAAGATGTGGACAAATGGACGTCTTATATCGGTGCCCAGGGAAATTAGCCGCTCGGTCACTACGTCACTGCATAGATTAGTAATGCCACTGCTTATGCCTAGTAGAGGCTAAGGCTGGTCCAGTTTAACTAATTAGGTGGGTAATGGATTGCATTAAGCAACGCAAAACTAGCGTAGCAACGGACATTACGTGTGATCCCAGCCAAGTAATTTTGGTTATGATATGACATCACAAGCACAAAATCAACTAACCAAACTAGGGAGTCTGAATCCTGTGGCTGCACTCAGATCGCTTGATCACGGGGGCACGGGCAGTTATCGTAAATTGTCGGAGGTACGGCTGAAAAAATCACAAACACAGAAATATTTCACGTCAATTTCATTCAAAGTAAAACGCCCGTGAACAAAATAGACTGGCCGTTTCACCAATCGTTTGTAATAAACTTACACTCCAATAACCAAATGGAATAATATCTCAAGAAAATATATCTCCTTACAACGGAAATAGATAGCCCCACCACGGGAAGGCCTACAAAAACAAAGATTTTCTATCAGAAATGAAAAGAATGGTGCATCACTTCAGCTGGCCATATTTACTTTATTTTCGTCACCTTCAGAGCGGTGCTAATAACCCTGAAAATATTTGAAGGGGTGAATCAGTCCATTTAATTGATGTCTATGCAGGTAATTGTGAGCCGTGTGGTGCCGGTTGGAATAGCTTTACCCCATATCCCTACCATAGGTGTCGTAAGAAGCGACTAAGGAATTTGTAAAATGGTGTGTACTGCAATTTATCACTATGGTCATACGCAATCTTTTGAATTACTTTACCTTTTGTCAGATGTGGTGTAAATGGCCGGTTTTTACAGCTGTTTATGCACTGCCTACCCCTCAAGGGATATAGGCGTGATATATTTATGTATGTATTATGTGGGCCAGCTGAAGTCACGTACATGGACGATGTCTTAATTTCTGTGTGTAGGGGCGAGCGGCAGGGCGGGCGGACAGACAGCGCCGCCCGCCGTCCGCCGCCCCGGGGGAAATCAACCGCATTCGTAATTACACTGACCACATCAAACGACATTTTTCTGTGCCCCCCGTGCCCTTGTGCCCCTGACCCGACGCCGGAAACCACAGAGCAAAGAATGAACTCGCGCCGCTAGTAGAGGCGAAAAGAAGATAACCTGTCAACCCAGTGAGCTACCGTACCTACTATAGTCCGACAACATCGTGCGCGACCCTCCTGCGGGGTACAGACGGTAGGGGGGCGAGGAAGCACGACATTTTAATATGACGTGCGGCGCAGATGCGCACGTCTCCCTTCCCCGCTACACCTCCCGCTACCCGCTGACATCTCCCCTCCCAACGTCTGTCACCCCTAGGGAAGGTCGCGCACGAACCTGTCGGACTATAGCAGTGTTGCCACTAGCATACATTTCGCATTTAGTGTCTTCTAAAAATGCGCGATATACCTTTTCCTTTGCAGCGTGTAAAAAATTCAACTGAAAATATTTTGAGGGATGACCTATGTTTCTTGGGGAAATTTGTTTAGTTTCATGGGCTGTTCAATCCTTAGAATATCTACAGTTGATTTTTTGCACCTTAAAATATGCTTTTGCTGGCGGATAGGTATGTAAGATTAATGTTAGTGGCCGCCAATCATCACATATGATGGGCGGCCCAGACACGTTTCTTGTGTATGAAATTCGTAAAAGCGTATCATCTGTGCTCTGTGCCCGAAACCTTTCATTACACCACACGGACACCAATGCCGTAATTAGCTCACAGTACAAAGCGACATTCTATCAGACCTCCATTTGAGCAGAATGCTGACGGGAAATGATTCTATTTGCGTTCGAGTTTATTACGCAGGTCAAATGAATGAGGGAATGGAACGCCCTTTCAAAGATCTACTGAAAAACCAGAGGTAGAGGTCGTAATCCCGTGGTGATCAAATTATTTAAGAAGCAATTGCCTCATAGAATACCACGTAATGAAATAAATAAGACTCTTACAACAGCAGCTAAATAAAAATAAAAAAAGGCTGCGAAAAATATTGTCATTGAGAGGAAATCGTTGTTTTCGTTCTGTACGCCTAACAAATGGTCTGATTTTGATGCGGTTTTCAGTGATAAGTGAAGATTTTACTGGGAAATGTTATTAGCTAAGTCTTACACGAACAACTCACTAGGTGCCGCTGCAGTAAACTGCCGAGGCTTTATAAAAAAAAATTATGTAGTTTGTTACTACTTACACCTTCCTCATCTAGATAAAAGTGTAACAAAAGTAATCACGAATACCTAACCTACCTACTGAAAGCACTGCGAAATAAAACATTCTACGTGAAATATTTTTTTGTTTTCGCGATATGAGGAGGGGAGGGAAGGATGCTGGATGGTGAATGGTGTAATACATTTCCGTGGATTTCTTCAATTTGTGGCGAAATTTCGTTGACTTGTGATTAATACCAGCTCGCACCCCAAATTATGAGTCCAGTACATTACCTCGTCAGGTAAAGTTTTGAATGGAGCGTATTTTTGCCCGACTGCCTCAGATGGAGAGTTGTATTTTTTGAGAGGTAGGTATAT